ACATCTTGCCTATATGCCTTGTAGCTGATAAACATCCACTCTTTTGGTAAGTAACCCCATGAATTCCATTAAATAGTACCCACTGGAGAGTACTAGAGCAGGATCTAGCTCTTAGAGATCTGTGGATCTGTACCTTTGGTTTTTGCCAATGTTATTTAATTGAAAAGAAGACTGAGATAAAATTACAGCCTTTTGAATGCCAATGTGTGCTTGCAGCTTTGTTAACCCACTTTTTTCAATTTCAGTGGAACATTCTTGCATAAATAAAACACACTATTAGAAAATAAATTATGCATAAGATGTTACCTTCTGGGTAACTGCCCCCAGTTTATACACTGGGCATGACATGCTGTGGTATGGAATACCTCTTTGGTCAGTTTGGGTCAGGTGTCCTGTCTCTGCTTCCTCCCGGCTTCCCCTCCTCCCTGGCAGAGCATGAGAATCACAAAGTCTTTGGTCAGAGTAAACATCACTGAACAGCAACTAAAAACATCGGTGTTATCCATGCTGTTCCCAGGCTGAAAGTCAAAAACACAGCACCGACTACTAAGACTGAGAAAAATGACTGTTACTGCTGAACCCAGGACAGTATCCACCCCTTATTTCATTATCATTCACATCATGCTCAGATCCCACATTTTCAATATACCATCACTCTTATCACATATATACATATATATCCACACAGAATGCGAGAGAGAGAGATCATTCCTTAGTGCACGGACCAATCCTTATAAAGCTGCCGAGTCCATTCGGTCCGTGATGTCAGGCTCCATCACTTGTAACAGTCTTTCAGAGCAGGAGAGGCTGTGTGCAGTGTACACACTCATGAATAACCTGGGCAACAGTGTCCATTGCTAAGTCCACACCTCAATCATGAGTCCATCTCTATGTTGCATCTCTGCCCTGATGGCCTGAAGTGTCATGGACCCACCAGGCTCAAAACAATTCACCCTCCCCTTCAGCAGTTTCTGTATCTTGTTGCTGGGGACTCCATACATCTGCCTTCCATCTCCGATACTTCCAAAGCACTGGAGGGGCCCAGTGGACTAGATACTTGCTCATACTGTTCCACACACCCTGCCACTCATGACTAACCATGAGGAGAAAAACGACTGCTACTACTGAACCCAGGACAGCGAGTCAGTGATAGCTTAAGTTCAGCGGGTAGTTTAGTGCACAGTGATCTGGGTGAACCTGTCTGGTTCTGAATTAAATGACATGGAGTTGTTTTGTAATACCCTAGCACAGATTAGCAGTGGGGTGTTTAAAAAGAGTAGTGAGAAGTAACTTTTTTAATTGCTTCAACTGCCTCTCAAGCAGTCTTCTCCAGAGCTTTCAACAGCTTTACAATGCTCCCTTAAAGCATAATTTTAACTGTGTCACTTTAGTAAGTTTCTCCTCTCCTTCCCTAGCCCCCTTTTTCAATCCTTTGGCATTATAGGAGCCAATCAAGGTTTGTAAATAAGGTATTTCCTTGTACATCATATAGCCTGGTGTGGAGACAGTGTTGTCACGGGAGAATGGATAATTGGTGCAAAAAAACTGAATAATCCTGAAAGATACAGCAAGGCCGTGAGAGGCCCGAGGAAGCTTAAGCAAGCAAGATAAGAAGAAGCTGTAATTCACTGAGTTAATGAGAACTGTGGACTGTTGGCAAGCTTTTGAGGTCAAGTTCTCACACCTGTGCTTAACCAATTGTGTATTAGTCACTAAGGGTCCTCAAGACATGTATCCAATCATAATATGTCAAACCACTGTAAGTGCCTGTAAGAAACGGTATGCAAGGAGTTAAAGCTTTGTAATAAATTGGAATTTTCTGATCACATTTATTGTTCCTGCGTTGTCCGTGACTCCTGCGTCGACAGCCTGATACAGTACTTGCTGGCACCAAGACACAGCATGCTTATGAAGGTGGGCTTTTGAGCCTGAATTTCTTGCTTAATTAAATAAAAAGTTAATTAAATATGCACTATATCTTTTGCATCAAAAAGAAGAGAAAAGCAAAGGCCTTTGTACAGATTAGTTAAGGGTCTTTGCAAATGGTAGCATAAACTCTATAAATACATATTTCAACATTAGCAGAACTGAAATAATTATTGCAAATATAATCATCATGATTTATGTCAATATGTAAACAAAAAAGCCCCCATCCCTTGAAACTCTCATCTGCTTGTCAAATTTGGAGTAGCAAATGTAAGCAAAAAAAAAAAAAGACACATTAGAAGTGGCAGATGAAATTAGTGAAGAGATCTTCACAACAGCACAGATCAGAGATCATAGGCCTGAGGTTTTACAAATTCCAATGAAGGTTTTTGTTATACACATGGGAACTACAGAAGCTATGTTCCATGGAAGCAAACAGAATTTGGCCAGTCTTAGAGAAAAGATATGTAGGCTTGGGTCAGAAGAAAAATCTACCTTTAAGTACATGCAATAGATTTTTTCCTTAATGATCTTTATAATTAGGTTCTTCCATGAGCCTCAGGAGTACTGGCAGTTAGTCAAGTTACACAGAAATGTGCAGCTGGTTCATTTACTAATTGCTGCCCATAAATTAAAGAAATAGTGCAAGATAGGTTTCTTAGTTATGCTATTCAATAATTTTAGCACACTGGATAATCTGGCTGCACTTCAGCTCTCTGAGAACAATGTATTTAGCTATAAAAAGCCAGTTTAACTCTGCGTATATGAAGGTTAGAGAACCCTTGAAGAAGTATATCTACAATGTGTATAATAATTGCTTAATGTAGAATGTAGTGTACTTGATAGACACTTGTATTAATTAGTGAGGAGAGGAATTATATTTTTAAGAAAGTCATTGGTATCTTCTTGTACAGTACAATCTAGGCACTGCATGGTGTGTCACTTATTTGAATGTTCAGGAGAAGGGCAGGGGCATCAAGTCCAGGAAACTTCATATAAAACCAATTTTAGGTAGCTCTATTTTTTTTTTTTTTTTTTTTGAGAATACAAGTACGTTATCATTTTCCCACTTAAAAATGTGTTTTAGTTCCTGAACTTGATCATATTTCACTAAGCAAATCTTCATGTAGATAATTCTTGGACTAGAGGTTTGTGTTTGATACTAAAATCTCAAACCAGATACTCTTTCTTCTGAACAAAACCAATCAAATGTAGCTATTAACATTCATAAATATTTTATTACTTATTCTTCCTTGGCTAGGAATAAATGCACAGATGCAAAGGTAAATACTAAATTATTCTCACGTACGTGATTTTTTGTAACCCTTGGATATTTAAGAAACTGTTAGGCTGGTCCTCTCCATATAGGTGGTGACTAGAGTGACTAAGAGTGCTGACTAAGAGTACCAAATACCTTTACTTCCTATAGAGCGTGGAGTTAAATACTGAGCAGGACAGTGGTAGGTATTTATTTTACAGCAATTTCATTTGCAGAGTTCACAGAAAGCAACTAGAAAGATACTGAAGTCAACACAGTTTTAGGCAAAGGGTAGATGGCTACATCTTGACCCAATTATCTGGAGTGTACTGCCAGTGATATCAACCAGTGTCTCGTTCCTTATGAAAGAGTTATTTCTCTGAAACTGATCCAAAGATGAGAAATATTTTGTTTCTTTTTTGCTCTGGTCCCTCTTCAATTTTGTTTGACCATTCAAGTGCTAAGAGGCAGCTGGAAGAACATATAGGGTGTTAAGAGTGTCTCACTTAAGTATCTGGAGGAAAAGGCCTCTAAAGTTTTGATCTTGTTTTTTATTTCAAACTTAACTACTACTCAAGTAACTCATCCTCTGAACAAGAAAGCTCCAAGCACAATGAAATCTCTCTTGTTTCTTGTATGTTGTAACAGGCACCTCTTTCCTGCATATCTACCCCTGCCCTCCAGAAGTTTGTGAAATAGTCTAATCCCCTGACTAGTAGGGGTATGCCGCATTGCAGGTGTGATTGAAAGGAGAACTAGATTAATTTATTGAATATACAATTTTCATTTTTAAAGGATTTGCTGATGATAACACATATCTAGGAACAAAATATCCAACACCAAGGAAATGGAGAAATAGGAGGAATCCTGCTTACTTCAACTGGCTATCAATAAATTCTTCTTATCTGCATCCTTGCTTAGAGGGCTTAGTGACAGACTGTCATAACTTGAGTTGTTAAAGTTGTATGAAATTTTTTCTATTAATAGTAAATTTATTTGAGAATAGTTCTTCAGATTTTCAATGAATAGTTTAGGCTCAAAAAAAAAGGAGAGATATAAAAATGCTGAAAAAATGACTAAGAAAAAAAAAAGTATTTTCCCATACATGGTCTGCTAAGCTTTAGCAATATGATTGTTTGCTACCTTTTCCCCCACTGGAACTTTATCTTATTCACTGTTCACACTGGAGAACATTTATTTAATGTTTATTTAATAGATACCTATATTTATTTAATAGATACTTATACTGCTATCTGAAGAATAGGTGTCGTGGTTTAACCCCAGCCAGACAGCTTGTCCACTGACTCCCCCCTCTTCCTGCCCTCCCCCTATTCCCAGAGGGACGGAGAGGAGAATCAAAAAGAATGCAACTCCCACGGGTTGAGATAAGAACAGTTTAGTAACATACGTATAACACAAATCACTACTGCTATCACCAATAATAGTAATGATAAAGGAAATAACAACGGAAGAGAATACACCACCTCATCACCAGATGACCGGTAACTCGCCCCCCCAGCCCGACCAAGCACCGACCGATACCTCCTCCAACCCTGCAGTCCACTCTAGCCCTTCCGTGTCACTCCTCAGTTACCTCCTGGGCATGACATTCTGTGGTATGGAATACCTCTTTGGTCAGTTTGGGTCAGGTGTCCTGTCTCTGCTTCCTCCCAGCTTCCCCTCCTCCCTGGCAGAGCATGAGGCTCACCAAGTCCTTGGCCTAACCAAAACATCATTTTTATCAGCTCTGTTCCCAGCCTGAAAGTCAAAACACATCACTGCACCAGCTACCAAGAAAGAGAAAAATGACTGCTACTGCTAAACCCAGGACATTATCCACCCCTTATTCCATACCATTCACGTCATGCTCAGATCCCACATTTTCAATATACCATCACTCTTATCTAAGTGCACTCTCATCGTAGTGCATGGGCCAGTCCTTATAAAGCTGATGAGTCCATCTGGTCCATGATGCCAGGCTCCATCTCTTGTAACAATCTTTCAGAGCACAAGAGGCTATGTGCAGTGTTCACACTTGTGAATAATCTGGGCAATAGTGTCCATTGCTAAGTCCACCCCTCGATCATGAGTCCATCTCGATGTTGCATCTCTGCTCTGATGGCCTTAAGGGTCATGGGCCCACCAAGCTCAAAATAACTCACTGTCCCCTTCAGCAGTTTCTGTATCTTGTTGCTGGGGACTCCATACAGCTGCCTTCCATCTCCAATGTTTCCGAAGCACTGGAGGGGCCCAGTGGACTAGATACTTGCCCATACTGTCCCACACCCCCTGACACTCATGACTGTCCAGCCTTGGGAGAAACCTCTTGGTCCTCCCATATTGTTGCCTAACCCCAGACAAGACCCAAACCTGACTGCTTAACTTTTGAGATCAGACAAAGTGGTGGTGGGTAAAACACAGTCTGTATGCGTGTCAACATGCTGATCCCCATCACAATCAGCAGGCAGGTCCCAAGGGCACCCAAAGGCCATTCAAAACCTTCAGAACTCTCAAGCAATGCTGCTGTACTTGTCACTGGGGCTGGTGTAGCTGCTGTGCTTGCCGGCTCTCCCACCACCAGCTTCTCTTTTCCTGAGTCCAGCTCTTCCTCCTCTGCCTTGCTGGGAAATGCTGCGGGGTCTCCTGCATCCTCCTGGGGCTCAGCGGGCGGCTTCCGGGGAATGCTCTCGGCTGTTGCGGGGCTGAGCTCGGCCGTGGGGCTCGGCTCCTCTGCGGGGCTCGGCTCCTCCGCTGCCTTCTCCCGCTGCTCGGCAGCCGCCTCCTTCCGGTCCTCGACCGCCCCGACCTCCTCCACTGGCAGCCGTCCCCTCGCGGCCTCCGGTCCCGCTCCCGCCGCTGCTTGGTCCCTGGGGCCGCTCTCCCGGCCCGCTTCAGCAGCCGCCGGCTCCCGGGGCCACTCCCCCTCGGCTTCCCAGAGCCTCACGCAGACGCAGGCGAGGGCGAGGGCCAGGACGGTGAGGAGCAGCCGGACGGCCAGGGACCAGTCCACGGCCACGTCCGTCCCGTCCTGCTGCTGGAGCCCGCCCGTATTACAAGTGATTGCCATAAAGTACAGTGAGACAGGAACCTTAGCCCAAGCCCCACACTTGATAAACACTAACACAGCAAATACTGGCTCTAAGTAAGTTACAACATTCTGAAGCTGTGAGATCAAGAGGAACAACTCTGAGAGCCAATAAATCAGCATTGTGACGAGTGACTATTAATCCCATCAGATCTGTCGTTATCTCAACCCTTCGAGCCCTACATTGGGCGCCAAAAAGAACTGTCATTATCTCAACCCCTTGTGCCCCACGTTGGGCGCCGAAAAGAACTGTCATGGTTTAACCCCAGCCAGACAGCTTGTCCACTGACTCCCCCCTCTTCCTGCCCTCCCCCTATTCCCGGAGGGATGGAGAGGAGAATCAAAAAGAATGCAACTCCCACGGGTTGAGGTAAGAACAGTTTAGTAACTAAGGTATAACACAAATCACTACTGCTGCCCCCAATAATAGTAATGATAAAGGAAATAACAAGGGAAGAGAATACACCACTTCATCACCAGATGACCGGTAACTCGCCCCCCCAGCCCGACCAAGCACCGACCGATACCTCCTCCAACCCTGCAGTCCACTTAGCCCTTCCGGGTAACTCCTCAGTTACCTCCTGGGCATGACGTGCTGTGGTATGGAATACCTCTTTGGTCAGTTTGGGTCAGGTGTCCTGTCTCTGCTTCCTCCCAGCTTCCCCTCCTCCCTGGCAGAGCATGAGGCCCACCAAGTCCTTTCGGGTTCTGTTCCCAGCCCAAAAGTCAAAACACAGCACTGTACCAGCTACCAAGAAAGAGAAAAATGACTGCTACTGCTAAACCCAGGACAATAGGTCAGTGACTTCTTTCTCACAGCCTGTTCAAGTTCAGTTTTGGAAACTTCCTCTGAAATTTACTGGCCACAAACATGAACAAAGAGGCTCCACCTCTGTGCAAGGTGGAACAAAGAAGTACTGCTCTCTCATTTTACAGATTAGGACCTGACACATAGGAAGACTATGTCAAAAATGCTTCTAAATTTGAGTGCCTGCTTGAAGATGCCTTTTGGAGTGATATTACCATTAAATAACACGTTTCATATTCACAGCATAGCTGTTACTGACTTTCAGTACCCTGAAATGAGAATTTGATTTCTGGCTGAGCAATAAAAAAAGACTCTCTAAACCAAGCCTGTTCGTATTCCCCTAAAGTCCTGGTCTTCTGCTAAGACGCCTAATTTAACTCAAAAGACTTAAGAAGGACTATATAACTAAATGTAGGCATTGCAATGTGCACATTTATGTCTGAATAACACTGAGCTCCTTTAGCATGGTCGAAAGAAATAAAAGACAAGGATCTCCCACAGATGGCATCTAAAATATAGTAATAGATTTGCATTCTAACACCTGTCTCTGAAAGGGGGGTGTGTATTCCACAGTTGGACATCTACAGCTAGGTAAAATTAATCCTACCTTCTGCATCTCACCCAGCTGGCTCCTTAAATGGCCACCTGTGTCACACTTAGTCTTGGCTAGCCTAAGCTGGCTTTGACACCAACATGCCTTCAGATCTTTTCTCCATCTGTCTGCTTTCTGCCCCTCACACCCTTTATTAAAGTAAGGCATCCTCTTTTTCCATGCCTTGTAGGGGTTCAGAAGTGTCAAGCTAGTCTAGGGCATAAGATAGTAATCATGTTCCTGCATCTTTTTTCAAATCTATGAAGGTTAATAGGGACTTATGCTCACTGTTCTGCAGGATAGTGATGGTTGTAAAAAGGCTAGCTACAGCTTCCCAGAGAGCTGGAGCTTGTCTGGTGCTGCTGATGGCCTCTGAAAATGAGTTGCTTTTTTCATGTTGTCTGCTGACTATATATGACCTTAGAGTTTCGAAAGCCATTGAACTTGCCAAATTTGAAGAGATAAAATTACGTGTTTCCAACATCAGGGACACACTCCTTTCTTCTACCCATCGTTCAATTGGCTTTATTGGAGACATAAGAGTTTTTTGGTTAGAGAATACTTTATCTTCTCTAAAAGAACTGGAACTGTTTACTTCTGATTTTTTTCCTGAAATGGGTGACTCTTTTAAAAAATGACCTCCACCCCTCCAAGGGGAAAAAAAAACACCAACATCAAAAAAAACCCCTTATTCTCAAAATTCAGCTTTGGGCAGCAGTATGATGCAGATAGCAGCAGCCCCAGTTATTTGAGCTGTTGGTTAGAAAAGAATGAGAAGAAATAGCCATACGAAATCTTACGATAGAAAAAAAAAAAAAAAGAAAAAGTAACATCTCTACAGATTTGATTTTTTAGTTTTTATTTTTGTTTTTTAGTTTTATGCTTATCAGTTTTATGCCAGGAAAAAGCGGCTGGTCATAGTAGTAGGGGATTCTACTTTGAAAGGGACAGAAGCACTCGTCTGTTGGCCTGACCCGGTCTCAAAGCAGGTCTCAAACCAGGGGCACGGATCAGGGATGTGGCAGAAAGGCTTCCTGCTCTAGTAGCCCCACGGACTATTACCCACTTCTGGTGATACATGTGGGTGCTAGGGATATAGATAGTAGTAGCCTGGGGAACATAAAGAAGGACTACAGAGCCCTGGGAGAGGTGGTTAAGGGCTCTGGAGCTCAGGTAGTCTTTTCATCTATTCTCCAGGATACAGGGGAGGACCTAAAAAAGGCTAGGAGGATTAGCCAGGTTAATAAATGGTTAAAAGGGTGGTGTCATAGTCAGGGGTTTGGGTGTCTTGAACATGAGACCCAAGTTTGTAGGCCAGGTCTAGTGGGGCCTGGTGGAGCTGATGAGCAGTTTTGGTAGGAGGCTTGCCAGGCTGGTCAAGGAGTCTTTAAACTAGATGTGTTGGGGGAGGGGGGCATCATTCCATCCCAACACTCCCAGTCAGTTGCCAGCACCTATAATGAATGCTTGGACCAATGCAGAGATATTCCAGCTGCTCCAGCCAATGAGCCGGCTTCATTTGAAGCTTGGTTCAGATGCCTCTATACGAACGCCCGTAGCATGGGGAACAAACAAGAGGAATTAGAGATGTGTGCTCATCTACGGGGGTATGACATTATAGGCATCACAGAAACATGGTGGGATGGCTCCTATGACTGGAGTGTTGGAATCGAAGGTTACAGACTCTAGAAAAGACAGGCCTGGCAGGCGCGGAGGGGGAGTTGCCCTTTATGTTAGGGATAGGCTGGAGAGTATTGAGCTCTCTCTGGGGACTGGTGAGCAGTTAACAGAGAGTTTGTAGGTCAGGGTTAAAGGGAAAACAGCGATGGGAGACATTACTGTGGGGATCTGTTACAGACCGCCTGATCAAGAAGAATCTGCAGATGAAGCACTCTATAGACAGATAGGAAAAGCCTCATGCTCACAGGCCCATGTTCTCATGGGTGACTTCAACCACCCTGACATCTGTTGGAATGACGGTATGGCCTGGCAGAAGCCATCCAGGAGGTTCCTCGATTGTGTGGAAGACAGCTTCCTTCTGCAAGTAATAGAGGAGCCGACAAGGAGAGGTGCCATGCTTGACCTTGTGCTCACCAACAGGAAAGGGCTCATTGGTAATACAGCTCTCCAGGGCAGCCCTGGATGCAATGATCATAAGATGGTCGAATTTGAGATCCTCAGAGATCCTCTGAGAAGAGCATGCAGCAAGCTCACTGCCCTGGACTTCAAGAGAGCGGACTTTGGCCTCTTCAGAAACCTGCTCAGTAAGGTTCCATGGGATATAGCCCCAGAGGGCAGGGGGGCCCAAGACTCTTTGTTGGTATTCAAGGAACACCTGCTACAAGCTCAGGAGTGCTGCATCCCAACTAGAAGGAAGTGCAGCAGGAGGGCCAGGAGACCTCCTTGGATGGATAAGGAG